ATTCTTTTCCTTCATCTGCTTAAACCAGTCCCCTTAGCATATCTTGGAGTGCTGGTTTGGTAGAGATGTATTCTTTTAGCTTTCTTTTGTCTGGGAAACTCCGTATTTCTCCTTCTATTTTAATGGAGAGCCTAGCTGGGTAGAGCAGCCTTGGCTGTAGGCCCTTGCTTTTCATGGCTTGGAATATTTGTTGCCATTCCCTTCTGGCTTGGAGTGTTTCTGTTGAGAAGTCAGCTCCTAGGCCTATCGGGGCCCCCTTGTGTGTTACTTTCTCCTTCTCCCTTGCTGCCTTCAGGATTCTCTCTTTGTCTTTGACATTTGCCATTTTAATGATGATGTGTCTTGGAGTGGACCTGCTTGGGTCCCTCTTGAGTGGGGTCCTCTGTGCCTCCTGGATCCATGAGAGCCTTTCTCTCCTCAAATTAGGGAAATTTTCCATCATTACTTTTTCGAGGAGGTTCTCTATTCCTTGCTCCTCTTCTTCTCCTTCTGGTATCCCTATTATACGGATATTATTGCGTTTCAGGTTGTCCTGCATTTCCCTAAATGCTTCTTCATTCTTTTTGAGCCGTTTTTCCATTTCTTGCTCTTTCTGGGAGCTTTTTTCTACCTTGTCCTCCATCTCACTGATTCGATCCTCAGCTTCATCCAGCCTGCTTTGGATTCCTTCTACTGTGTTCTTCAATTCAGAAATGGTATTCTTCATATCCTCTTGTGTCTTCTTGATAGTTTCTATGTCCTTTTCCAGGCTGATATAGTTTGCTGTAAGATCCTGATAGTTTCTCTGCAGTTTCTCATAGTTCTCTTTGAGCTGGCTGAGCTCATTGAGCTTCCTTAGAACCATTGTTTTAAATTCCATATCTGATAGTTCCCTTGCCTCTATTTCATTTAGCTCTGTCTGTGGGGAGTCCCCTTTTCCACTCATTTGGGGAGAACTTCTTTTTCTTCCCATTTTTGTGAGAGTCTGTTAAGTATTTTTGTCCTTTTCTTTCTGGGCTTGCCTCTGATGATGTCAGTTGTTGACCCTATAGGGCCTTGGGTTGTTTGTTTGAGCCTTTCAGGAGTCTAATGCCTGTGTCTGACTCCTGCTTGGAGCAGCTCTGTGACCCCTTCGGTCAGGGCTGGGCTATTTTTTGAGATCTCTCTGCGCTCTCACGAGAGCTCCTTGAGCGCGTTCCCAGCGCGGCAGGGTCCCCCACCTGCCTGGGCTCGCATGTGTTTGCCCCAGACCAGGGGGCTTATTCGCGACCTCCCGTGCTCATCTGGCCTCCCTGGCACGCGAGCTTCGCGGCACTGGTCAGTTTAGAGTCTTCTATTGTGTGTTTTCCCCGCTTTTGGCTCTTTGGGTGCGTTGCTTGCCCTCGCCAAATGGGGACTACGGAAATGGGAGGAAATCAGCTCTCCGGTTAATCCTGTTTCTGGTCTCTCCTCCAGGGACTCTGGGCAGCTCTACTTATTTTGTGGGCTGCTCCGCAATCGCGGCGGGTAGGTCAATTTATACCTGCCCTTGCCCCTCTGTGCAATCCCTCGCAGGCCGTATGGGTGCCAGTCTGTGTGAGGCCTTGCCGGCAGGTGCAATCATTCGCCAGCCCGCGTGGGTCACACACACGCTCGCCAACCCTCGCCAGTCACTCGGCGCAAGTGTGCACGCCTGCTCTGGGTGTTTTGGGGGTGTCTATGTTTGCTTTTCGGCTTTTGGCTCTTTGGGGGTGTGGCCTCTTCCCGCGCAATGGAGACTTTGGCAAGGAGAAGGAGTCAGGACTCCCCGGTTCCTCCTCCCGTTCTTTCCCCAATGCCTCCGTTTCTAGTCTCCCCTCAGGGGCCTCTGGGCAGTTCTGTGACCCCTTCGGCCAGGGATCCAACCCCTGTGCGGACTGCGTTTCAATCGCAGGCAGTCTGGTTCATGCGCACCCCGCTTCTGCCTCTTTGGGGTCGCGCCTTTCCAGCCCACAATGGAGACTACCGAACGGGTAGGGAGTCGGGACTCCCCGGTTCCTCCTCCCGTTCTTTCCCCAATGCCTCCGTCTCCAGTCTCTCCTCAAGGCTCTCCCAGCCAGTCTGCACTCAGCCCCGTAGCTCACAGGCGTACAAGCTGTGTGCGGAGCGCACAAAAGGCAGGTTAATTGATTCCCTTATGCCTGAGCGAGATGGTAGCTGCAGAGTGGGAAGTGCGTTATCACCGGGGCCCCACCGGCCACCATCTCAGTTCTCTTCACAAAGTTTTCCTCACCAGTCTTTTCCCAGGCACCAGCCCACCCTGCTGCCGCCTGTACCCAGCGATCAAGGAGGGTGGCTGCCGCTGTAACTTTTGCGTTTGCCCTTTAAATGTCTTTTTGCATCCCCAGCCACTTGTCTCTGGCAGAGAGTGCCCCTAAGCTTTTTGGGGTTGTGTTTTGTCTGTATTTTCTCGGCTTTAGCGGCTGTAGTTTAGGGGTTCCTGTTTATGATTCAGATCCCGTTCTTCCCGGGGGGACGCTAACTGGTCGTTTCAATGTCCCTCTGGTGCCAGTGCCCGTGCGCACCCAGCCCACCCTCTCGAGCCTCCACCGCAATTCTCACCCTTTGGGATGTGTGAGAGTCGAATCCGCTGTCCGCGGCACCAAGGCTCCTCTCCCACTATCGCTCCACTGCTTTCCAGGTGATTACTCCATTATTTAGTTGCAAATCCAGTTTGGTTTTGGGAGGAGGTCAGCGTGACTCCCTTTCACTCCTCCGCCATCTTTTTTCTCCTTATTTCTTCTTTTTGTTCCAAATTATTGATTTGAGTCCCAGTTTCCTTCCCTTCACTGTTGGTTCCCTGTATATTTTTCTTTATTTCACTTTGTATAACCTTCACTTCTTCCTTTACTTTATGATTAAACACAATAATTTCTGTGAGCATCCTGATTACCAGTGTTTTTTTTTTTTTCCATTAAAGATTTTATTTTTTATTTTTAGACAGAGGGGAAGGGAGGGAGAAAGAGAGGGAGAGAAACATCAGTGTGTGGTTGCCTCTTGAACATTTCCTACTGGGGACCTGGCCCGCAACCCAGGCATATGCCCTAACTGGGAATCAAACCAGCAACCCTTTGGTTCACAGGCTGGTGCTCAATAGACTGAGGTACACCAGCCAGGGCTGATTACCAGTGTTTTGAACTCTGCATCTGATAGATTGGCTCTCTACTCGTAACTTAGTTCTTTTTATGGAGTTTTGATCTGTTCTTTCATTTGGGCCAGATTTCTTTGTCTTGGCACACCAGTTACATTGTAAGGGAAGGAACCTTAGGTATTGGCCAGAGCAGAGCAACCCACTTTGCTGCATTGTAGAGCTGTATGTAGGGGAGGGGTCAGAGAAGAAACAATGCCGCTTTCTTGGCTCTCGCCCTACTTTCAGTCATTTCTCTTACTTCCCACAAGCAGATTGTGCTAATTCCCACATGTATGGGCTTATGCATGTTCTAGGGCTTTGTGGGTCCCTCCAAGGGACTCTCCTGTGAGATTGTCAGCTTCTCCTGCTGCTGCAAGCCCCACAAGTTTCTACAGCCAGAGGTTTTGAGGCTATAGTTTTATATGTTGGAACCCTGGGTTGTGCAGTCTATCTCACTCCCCAGTGGTTCCTCCTGGCTTACCTGCACACAAATGTGGGATATCTTGGTCTGCCAGCAACTGCCTTGTTGCATGTGCTCACCACCCTGGCCTCCTGTCTCCATTCCTCCTACTGGTCTGGATGAATGTTTCTTCTTTAACTCCTTGGTTGTCGGACTTCCATACAGTTCAATTTTCCAGCAGCTCTGGTTGTTTTTTGTTTTTAAATTAGTTGTTATCCTTCTTTTTGTTGTGCGAAGAAGTGAAGTATATCTACCTAGGCCTCCATCTTGGTTGGAAGCCCTAAAATTATTTGGTGTTTAATTAGAATAAAATATTGGTAAAGGAAGAAAAATTTGGGTGTAGTTTTATCTTAAATTTTTGTTCACATATCATGGTTTGCATGTTATATAACTATTGAGACTGGACCAGATTCTATGATAGGGAATTTAGGTTGGGGGAGTTGCACTTAGGGATGAGATATTGCAGTATCAGATCCATGTGATTTTATAAATTTTATTCACCCAGCATGCCTATATTTAACTCAGTATTTCATAGCTGCCCAATCTATTGTGGGTAGATTATGTCTTGTATACCTGCCAAACACCCTGAATTGGAGATAACTCATATATTTAAATTTCTGTTCTGAGAATAGGAGAGATCCAGTGCTCCTATACAATTCTCTTTATTTTCCAAAACCAGACCTGAATCACAAAAAATATTTTGGCCCTGGTGCAAACAATTGCTCCCTCTTGATCATGCTCTTTTGAAGCCAAAATGAAAGGACCACACCTTTTTTGTCTAAATTTGCACACATACCTGGCTGCATTAAGCTCTTCAAACACCTGAAATTCAGACCGCTATTAGTATGGTATATATGATGTCTTCTTTTCCAAATGTTAGAATTTTTCCCAGAGAACCTGAAATCTCAGATTTTATTCTGAGGATCTCCCTAATGGTGAGCAGACTTTAAAGGTTTTGATGCCTTCCAGACAGTATTCCCTCACTTGACAGTGATGTATCTAAAACAACTAGGATCCAGGTCCTGCAACCTCACTTTCATGAAATATCCCTCCACATCCATTCAGTGACTTTTCCTCATTATTTTATTTTTACAAACCAAAGTTTCCTTTAAAAAAATTATTTCATATAATTTTAATGATTCTAGGACATAAAATGTATAGGTTAGTTATCATTTTGAAAGGGATAAACTGCTTCTGAGAGGTCAAGGCCTTCCTAAGATCACACAACATGTACTGTAAAGTTAGACATGAGCACATTCCTTTGGCTCCAAGGTCAGGAGTCTGCTCTCTCCTTTTTCAGGGGTCCATGGAAGGCGGCTTAAGTGCTTAATGGGGCAAATACACAGAATTTCAGTAGTTTTGGAGAGATGAAATGTCAAATATGTGGAAATATTTTTTTTTTGTCATTCCTAGTAGTCAGACCTTCACTCTGAAGGAGCCAAAAACTATCTCCAAAGAACAAAGGAGAGTATTCCGAGTTCCTGATCTGAATGGGATGCTGCAAATATTTGATGGTGAGGAATGCTGAGCAAGTGGGTGGCTGTGGGATTTTTGTGAGGATGGGAGTGAAAGAGAGAGGAGGGTTCAGTTTCTAGGTGTGGATAGAGGTGACAAAAGAGGATGGATGTCATGTGTTGATGATGTAGTCATAGTTAGTGGGGATTGACCAGCTATCTTGTTCACCTCATTCTTCCATTTACTATCTCACATAGCCCCCAATCTTTCCCCTCTTCTGGAGAGGAAATAGATTATAGTGCTGACTCCTTTGCTTATATTTAATATTACGGATTTTTATCATTTCAGAGCTGACAGAAGTGCGCCGCTATTGGGGTAAGGAAAAATCACTGTATCATGAAGCCTCTGTCCTCATCCTCTTTCAGAATTTTGGATTTCCTGCTAGGTCCCTTGTTTTAACACCCAGGATCCTTCTCCTACACATGCATACATATTATGCTTCAGCAGTGTTTTACCTATTCCCAAGAATAGAACTAGGTTCTTCCCAATTTCTATTTGTGCTATTCTCAAGATCCCACTACAATGTCACAAGTACAAATACATCATACACCTCACCCAATTCTGTAATTTTTCTACAGCTCACATTACCCTGGACCCTCCCAAGGACAGACGAAATAGAAATGTTGCCATTTCTGCAGATCGTAGACAAGTGAAATATGAATACCATTGCAACTCAAAAATGAGACAAGAATACTCTAACAGATGCCAAGAGAATGATTATGGTGTGCTCGGTGTACCAGCTATCACATCAGGGAAACATTACTGGGAGGTAGATGTCTCAGAGAAATATGCCTGGATCTTGGGGGTGTGTTGTCAAAAATACCCTAACCTCAGTCTGTTCCAAGATCTCAATAATGTGCATGTTGTTAGAAAAGCTGACTCGTGTCCAGGTTTTGAATATTATGACCAACGTAAAACTGGCTATTGGGTTATAGGATTAGTAAATAAATTTAAATACAATGTTCTTTCAGAATCTCCCCCCTCTAGTCCCTTGCAATTAACCCTCTGCCTGACTGTTCCTCCCCATCGTGTTGGGGTTTTCATAGACTGCACTGCTTGTACTGTTTCATTTTATAACATCACGAACCATGGGTTTCTCATCTATAAATTCTCTCAATGTTCCTTTTCTCAGAAAATTGAACCATATTTCAATCCTATGACATCCTCTGCCCCCTTGACACTGTGTTCTCCAAGCTCTTAAATCTCTTACACCCTCACCCACTTCTTCGTCATGCCTCTGGCCTTGGGTGCACCTAACACCCTGAGCTTGTCTGCACCATTCTCACCAACTTTTTATTGCTGTCTCCCCAGTTTTTTTCATGTCAACATCCTTCATTTAACAAAAGTACAAAATTTGCCTTGTGTCAAGCATATATTTCCCAATGTCTTGTTTGCACTAGTAATGAATCTTAAATCACTATTTTCTATCATCTTACATAAAATGACTAATGCCTCAAAAAAAAGACCCGCATAGTCCTGATGTAATTTTGTGAGAATTAAACAACAAATGTTTTCCGTAGCTTCTGTCATTAAGCACATAAGCAGTAATCAAGTATGCTGTCTCTTCATTTTTTGTTTGCCTCTCACTGTGACTGAAATAAATGATTTTAAGAATACATGTTAGTTTACTTTCAACCTTATTACCCTTACTTTGTTTTAAGAAATAAAATAATTTGACGAGAGAACTACAGTTTTTAAAAAAAAATTTGGGTAATTGTAAAATAAATGTTTCCACTGTTTTTAGCTACCTAGTCTCCCCCCACCCTCATGTTTCTGGAGTAATTCTATTTCATTGAAGTTGAATTTATGTATTAGCTTTGTTTTTTAAAAATATATATTTTATTGATTATGCTATTACAGTTGTCCCATTTTTTTCCTCCCTTTTATTCCTCTATGCCCTGCATGCCCTGTCCCACCAGCCATAGGAGACGATGTTACCATCATTTTAGAGAGGATTTCACTAACTCAGTTATCATTATTCTAACAAGCTCAGTGCTTGTAGGAGTTTAGTCTGCATCAAACCTGCAGGCTATAGATTCTTATAGACATGGGAGCAGGTGTGAGGAGTGGGGTGAGGACTGCCTCTGGACAGTGGTGTTATCAGTGCAAGCATGGTTCTTGCAGTGTCACAGGAAAAAAATTTCCTGAGACCCACCTGGGAGGATGGGATTCTATGGTAAACTTTACTGATGGTGTACAATTAAGGGGATTCCCCTCCTAACTACTCGATGTCCCATGTCCATTTGTCCTGCCATGGAAAAGGCCCAATCTTGTCTTCAGTAGGGCCAGAATAAAGGTCAACGCCCAGAGTTTCTGCTGCATATTGAAGTCCAGTCCAGTCCAGCATTCGTCTAGCATAGCGTATGTTTCAAGCTGCAGTCCATTGCTGAACCACAATATTCAGGCTCCCTCCTGGAGCCTCCATGTGGAGTCCTCACAGCCATGGGCTATATGGCTGCTAGCGCCACATGGCCATGGAGAGGACAGGCACCTGTACTGTGTGAGTACCAATCATTGGATGAGAGAGACAGAGAGGGAGAGCTTCATTCTTTTTTTCCCTGGGATTATACTAGTTTTTGGGTTCGGGATGAACCAGGTGCTTTTTCAAAATGACTGGTCAATTCCCCAGCATTTGTGAACATTTGACAGGCTTAAACACCCTAGTTAGACTGACAGGGCTTTATGGTCAAACACATCCTCCTGTATCCCCCAACAACCTGGTACTGGAGGGGCAAGGGAGGAGTGTTAATCACCTTGACAGAGTAATGCTATGATCTCCTGGGGTAAGAAGCTATAGCTTCCTGGCTGAGCAGTCTCATGTTCCCCAGTTTATTTAGCTCAATGTATAACTCCCTTTGCTCTTTTTCTAGCTAAATACTGATGGTAACATTGGGGGCTAGTTACATTCCTCCTAGTTAGATGCTTTGTTCACTTTGGCGAATTAAGGACTCTGGCAGTAACAAAACCATTCCCTAAATGAGAGAAAGTCACTATCTCTGTTAAGCTTTGACTGGGGTTCTGGCAAAGATATCATAAATCCTGTCTCAATCTAGTCTTCCCCGCTTGTGCCCCAAACTACAGATTCCTGTCCAATGTCCAATGCAGCAACACAGAACTGTTATGACTTATCCACAAAATCTACTTCCTTTTCTTAAAAGCTTTTCATATAACTTTGTAAATTTGTTGGAAGGGTAAGAACTAAATCTCTCCAAAACTACTCTGAAGATGGTTCAAGTTGTGCTGGGCTTCTCCATTGTTTCACTCCTGATATCACCTGGTGTCTCTTCTCAAAAGTAGTTATAAAATAAATCACACAATAGAGTTAAATCTCAAAGGATATTTTTAATGCAAAAAGCACCTCCAAAGTCAGGTTTTATTTAGTGAAATGCTATAGATTGCCAGAGATGGGTTCCAAGTCCTACAGACTACAAAAGAAAACATTGGGATCCAACATCTTTATTATTCTTTATTTTATCTCTATAAGGTAAGAGTCTACTCTGTTTGACTTTGCCTAAACCAAATCACATAGGAGAATATCTGTTATAGGGGCATTGCCAGTATGACTAATGGATAGAGCTACCTTACCTACTAATGTTGGGAAACGGAGATCCTCCAAGGTCGAGGGCATTGTCCCTGAAGCCATAAATCATCCTCAGAGCTCACTTCTCTCTGCCTGAGTCAGGGAATGCTGCTCTCCTGTCCCCATGTCTTTTCTGGTAGGTGCATTCTTTTATTATATTCACATCCCAGTAAACATCTATTCTAATTTGAAATGTATTTTAATACCATGTGTAATAAGCTCACATACCATACACAGCACTAGAATTTTTCCTATCATTTTCATTCCCTTTTTTCATTATTGTTTTTCTACAGCTTTATTGAAACTCTCCAGCTTATTTTATAAAATCCATTTCCTGAAACATAATACTTCCTCTATAAAGATCAATTACTCCCCATTTAATATTTTAATCTCCCTCTTCCTCCTGCCTCCCCTCATACCCACCTCTTTCTTCTCTCCATACATATTTTTTTATTTGATCCTGGGCCTATTCTACATAATCTGCACTAAGATAAGGACAGAGTTATTTAGGTTTAATCACATGAAATTGCTTACCTACAAAAATAATCTCCTATGGTTTATTAAGAAATATATAATTATACAGAAATGTAAGGCTAATGGCAAAGAAAAGGGGGCAATAAAGGGTCAATTCTATAAGTGCAAGGTCATCTAGGGGACAAGAGGTGCTTTGCATGTAGGCACCCTGAATGTGACAGTTGCAGTCCTCAGCCATGTGCAGTACCAGAGTGGAAGTCTTGTCTTTCATAGCCACTCTGACATAGGATTTGTCCTCAGGGCTCAAAAGTCAGCGGATCCTTCACTGAAGAGACTGTGTATAACTCAAGCTGTTACAACTCTAGTTTCTTTTTCCTTGTTCGAATACCTGGCCTGGTGAAGTTTTACATATGGACTGGGATTCCCTTTTGTGTCATCTATGTTGTGGCTATTGTGGGCAATCACATCCTCCTCTACCTCATTGCAGTTGAGCACAGTCTCCATGAACCCATGTTCTTCTTCTTTTCTATGCTGGCTACCACAGGCCTTGTCCACTGCCACAGTGCCAAACTGCTCAGTAACCTCTGGCTTGGCTCCTAGGAAATAACCTCCTCTGGTTGTCTCACCCATATGTTCTTATCCTACTTCAGCTTTGTGGTGGACTTAGTCATTCTGTTGGTCATGACATTTAATCACTCTAGCCATCTGCTTCCCTTGAGATACACTGCCATCCTGACTCCACAGGTGATCATCAAGCTTGTGGTAAGCATCATTGTAAGGAGCTTCTCTGTTACCCTAACATGTTTTTTGTGCTGAATTTTACCCCTCTAAAGGACACATATCATCCCACACCCATACTATGTGCATATAGGGGTTGGTTGGCTTTCCTCTGCTGACATCTCCATGAGCATCTAGTACAGATTTGCTGTTTCTCACATGACTGTCCTATCAGGAGTGCTTGTTAAAAAAGATTTTATTTATTTATTTTTATATAGAGAGAAAGCAAGGGAGAAAGAAGGAAAGAACTATCAATTTGTTGTCTCTTACACACCCCTGACCTGGGCCCTTTCCCACAACTTAGACATGTGCCCTGACTAGGAATTGAACCGGTGACTTCTTGGTTTTCAGAACAATGCTCAACCCAATGAGCCACACCAGTCAGGGCTCACATCTGATCTTTATTACTGTTTCCTGTATCTTCATCCTCCATACTTCTTTCACCTCTCATCCCAGGGTTCCTGCCAAAAGGTCCTCAGCACCTGTGACACTCATGTCTGTGTTATCCTCATGTTTTACACATCTAACTTCCTCTCCAACCTCACTCATTGCTTTGGGCACAGTGTCCCTCAAAACATGCACATCCTACTTGCGAACTTATATGTGGCCATTCCTTTTGCTCTAAATCTTGTTGTTTATGGAGTGAAGACCAAGTAAATTCAAGACAAATTTATTCTCCTTTTGTCTTTGAAGAAGACATGAGTGGGGAGGTCCATGGAAGGAGAAATTTAGGTAAAATTGATTTGGTGAAATTTTATGTAACACAGGAAGACAAAAATAAGGCTGCAACTCCTATTATTTTGGTATTTTAGAGTTCTACCCATGTGCAAAATATACGCAGTATTAACAAGGGAGAAAGAAAATCTTCAAGACTTCTAAAAAAATCAAGGGTGTTCTTGGTTTAGTTTTCTTTCCACTTGCATGAAGAAGGTGATGGTGGATATAGAAAAGCACTAAGACTAAGGTTCACATTTTTCCTATTGCTGATTTTGAGATATTTGAAGGTTAGATATTTTCTAACATGCAACTCATCCCTGCATTTCTTAGTTTTTGCATTAAATTTAAGTAGTTATCAGTTCTCTCTACTGCAACTATCAAACTTACTGCTTCACACTTCAGTCCTGATTCTACACATTATTAATTCTCCTTGCTGCATCCTTTACTTGCTTTGTTTCTTTCCACTCATCTCTGATTACACAATCAATTATCTTCTGTATTTATTTTCAATTGCATACTCCAAGAAAGTTTCACTACCTTCGTTCTATAGTTCACAAGGATACAAGTAAATATATTTGATTAAAATAGTTATGAGAGGGTAATATTAGTTAATTCATTTCACAGATGAGGAAATAGAGACTTATAAATATTACAGAAAGACAGTAACTAGATTCAGGATCCAAAACTAATTCTGATTCTGAATTTTTCATCCAGTTTGCCTCCTAGATATCTACTCACTTAAATGGCTCCTAAAATTTTCAAACTTAATTACTCTAACATTGACCTGGAAACTCACTAACCTTCTCCAATAAAAAGTGCTCTTCCTTTTGTATCTTCCTTTAAGGTAAATGGCACCACCACAAACATGAATTTCAAGCTAGAAACTTGTGGCTTCTCCTTGATTTATCCTACATCCCTCTCTGACAAAATTAACTCAATATTTGAGTTGACTCTTTAATTTTGAGGTGCATATAAGTCATTCTAGTAGATAAATACATCCCATTCTCACCTTTATCATGGCCACTTAGTTTGTCTGGGCCCTTGTCTGTTGTGGAGGAGCGCTGCACAGGGTGCTCCTGGATCTGAGGGTTACTGCCTGGAGCCAGCTGCGGAGGGAGCAGGGCTCTGAATTCTACAGAGCTCATCCTGGTGTTGTCACAGAAAGACGGGGGGCAATAAACACTAGTCGTAGCAAACACTTCTCTGTTTGCCAGGAGAGAGGA